GGACGGGGGGGGGGACGGTGACGAAACTTACCAACATCGAGGAAGAACCAAGACCCAGCAGTACCCAGCAGAATCCTTCCGTTCTTCCACTGCGAGTAGTGGCGCCAGAAATCAGCCCAGCTGGCCTTGGGGGCGACAACGTCACCGGTATGGTTCTGGAGGACGGACTGGCGGCGCATCTCGTCGGGGTGACCCTCGTGCTTGCCGGCCATGTAGGCACGCACGTCCTCGTCGGCCTTGACAATGTCACGGGCAACATCAAAAGTGTAGCGGGGGGTTTCGGGGATGGTGAGACGGTAGTAGAGGGCGATGCAGGCAGGGACGGCACCAAAACCGATCACCACACGCCACATCTTGTCGACGGCGAGCTGGCAGACACCGGAGCACTTGCCCACGGAGCTGGCTGTCTCCAGAGATTCCTTGAAGCCGGCAGTAACAATCAGAGCCATGATGGCCGCCGCGAATTGACCGAAACCCTGCATGGCAAAGACGGAACCCATCATGGCACCTCTCCACTTCGTGGTAGCAAACCTGCGCAGGGGATCACGTCAGCAAAGGTCCCGGAGAACAGCTAGGACGGGGAGCATAGCATACTCAGAAGTAATGATAGAAGACAGAGGATAGTCACCACCGATACCAATCCCCATGATGACACGCCAGAAGATGAGAATACCAACGATGGAAATAGCACGAGAGTCGGAGGAGAGAGCCTGAGCCAGAGTGGCCATGATGATGATCATCAATTCAATACCGTACATGCGCTTACGACCGATGCGATCCGCAAGCCAACCAAAAAACAGCTGTCCAATCACCGTACCACCAGAGGTAGACACCTTGATGGCAGTATCGGCGCTCGAGGGGATCTTGCCGGGGCTGGACTTGGCGTCCTGCCAGAAGACAACCCCCAGCATGCTGGAGGCCAGGTTGATGGCAAAGATATCGTAGGAGTCCGTGAAGAAACCCACCCCGGCAACGACAACGGCGCGGACGTGGTGCCAGCCGAACTTGGCATTGTCGATCTCGGCCAGAGCCTGACGACGGCGCTCTCTGGGATCCTCCACGTTGGCGAACTCGTTGTTGTAGTTCCGGAAGGCGGAGTTGCCGCCTTCAGTAGTAGCCATGGCTGGGTTGGTTAAAGGAAAGTGATAAAGAAGTATAATGGATAGAAAAGACCACGCCAGTCAGTGGGCTCAGAGTTGTCGAACCTACTCCGAGGAAAGATTCAGAGAGACTTCGTGGGTGAGAATGGGAGGCAGCCCCTTATGTACAGAGAGCTCAGAGACGAAGGCGTTTTTAGCGTACATGGCCCGAACAAGAACAAACAATGGCTGCAACGAATCGAGACCGTGAGTTTGGGCACGATAGGCGACCTGGACCCCGGCCATGTTCGTCTCACTCACTCCGGTGCCTAAGGTATGTCACTCTGCGCGCATGCGAGGAAGTCTAGGGGCCACTAGTGTGAGCAACTCAAGCTCGACTAAGCTTCAGTCAAGACCTTTGCCCAGACAGGCTGACAGGGCTTTTTTTCTCTTGGTAGGACTTCCTAAATCGGTCATTTTGGCCGTGTAGACTCTGATCTCTGATTGGTTCGGGCCACCCGAGATGTCAGGCTGCCCGTATTATTCTGGCCAATCAAACGGCCACTTTCTGGAGCATGCTCAGTTCCGCTGTGCTGAGTGGCCAGCGACCCACAGCCGCGCCAAGAAATCGAGGCTTGCCAAGACTCATCATCTCAGCCACTCTCCATGGTCACTCGCAAAGTTCTGCTTCAGTCCTCCGGGTTGCATAGATATTACTACCACACAGATGAATGAGACGCTGCGGTTGTCGCACGTGCTGTCCTTCTGCTCTCTGCGAGCGACCGGGACCTTCTAGACACAGCCCGTCGGGCGCTGACCCTGGAACAACAGAAGCAATATGAGGGCAACATCAGCCATTCACAAGGAAAGAGATCGGGATACGCCGCCTCGCAGGGGCTAGGAGAAGAAGGAGCGAAGAATTTTCTACGCTTCCACCATATGCCTTGCTGCGGCCGTGCCTGAGCGAGGAAATGCGCACGTGGACAGAAAGATGTTCTAGAATGATTCGCAGCTGAGTAGTTGCGCTAAAGGAGTACTCGAGCCTAGGCACTCTCACTCAGCTGATCTGGAAGACTTTGATGTTTCTAGCGTGGCGACGTGTGTGCCTTGCGCCCTTGCCTGACATCAGCTTGCTCGCTCTCACAACCAGGGGACCCTGCAACAGACACTGAAATCCGAATCCGAAGTCTTAAATGCTTTCAAACCTATTGCGCTTTTCGCAAAATCAGAATCTCGCAGGTACACTACAGCCATGGCAAGCACTTGCCAAGTTGCCGCACTATCCCACACGTGATGGCCTCACGGACGTCTTTCCCGACATCTGCCTTGGCTTGAATGAGGGCTGATGCAAGCGGCGAGTTCGGAGTAGACCTCCGATGGACATGATGGCATTGTAGTGGCACGGTGGCACCTTACATGTTTGTACGAGTAAACTGTGAGCAATACAAGCTGATGTTGATATTGTAGCCTGCATTAGTAGATCTGCAGATATTGATATCTGTTCAGTCTCCACAGATCTTGTGCCCACTGCTCTGCGGGACTCGGACGGATATATGTACTAACACCGATCGTCAGGTACAGTTGCCTATTCAAGTAATCACCTGCATCTCATCTATCATACGGAGTACAACATCTCTATAACCACGTTCTCGTTCTCGTGCGACGTCGACGTCGACGTCACTGACCCTATCTCCGAATAGAAACTACCCCTCAACCGCGGAAACACCATCATGTCATACACTCATCATCCCAACATAGCGTAGCACACAGGACACTCTCATCATCATGATCAAATGCAGTGGCGTCTCCTCCAGCTACTTAAACCCCTAAGATCAACCCATCGCAACTGAGCAGATACACATCCATCACTACTACACCATTCACCGACAAAACGCTACTGTAACAATGCCCCGAAGCCGAGAGCCCAGCGAGGGCCGCGACCCCGAGAACGTCAGGAGGGGATACAAAGCGTAAGCCTCACATTATCTAATACAGGAAAAGAAGAAGACTGAGCAGTCGCAGCACCCTCAAGAACCCAAATGTCTCGCAGCAGGCCAAGCAACACGCGCAGCAGGAGCTCGACAGATACGAGGGTGGCGGGGGATCCAGCGAGGATGAGCGACATGCGACGAATGTGAAGAGGGGGTTGAAGGCGTATGTGCTTATTCTTTTGTTGAAAGTTGAATGGGTTGGTGCTGATGCTGATGCTGATGCTGATGGAACAGGGCAACGCATAATCCCAACGTCACGGATATGGGGAAGAAGCAGGCGAGGGATAAATTGGAGGCGATGGGGGAGCAGCCCGATCAGCCGAGTGATTAGCCGGGTCTACTCTACATCGAGTATATGCTGTACACTATGCACATGTCTTGTAGATGGGCCAAGGCAAGCCAAGCCAATGTATCATGTTGAGTGGTATCTAGTATATACAAGTCAAGTCTATGTCCAAATCACAATCCCCGCTTCATCTTCCAGCGCATGATAAATGCCGCAAATGGGTATACCAGGATAGAAACAGCGATCCACACAAACAGAATGCCAAAGTCGAGTCCGATTCGTGAATGTGTGCCGAAGAGAATAGTTCGGAGTGCCTCGACAACTACACTAGTTAGATGACCGCAAGGCAATTCGAACGATAGAAAACTTACTGCGATGCAAAGGCCAGGCGTAACCCCAAGCGAAGAATCCAGGCGCCAGATCCAACGCATAAAAGCCGGTGGCGACGTTGGTAATAACCCAGAAAATCAGAAAGAGCGCACTGTAGGGAAACCCGAGGATCATGCCCATGTTCTCGCAGGGCAGTCCCAGCGCAGCCATGCCAACCCAGTTCAGCATCCAGAATACCACGAACGATCCGTGTCCATACGCGTTGGCATTGTAGGCTGGCAACGTATCCGGGGCCGGACTGTTGCTGAACGGGATCTGGAAGGCCAGCGACACAAAGGAATAAAACAGCGACAGGAAAAAGTAGGCCACGATGCTCGAACTCAGACGCCAGACGAGCCACTGCGGGATCTTCAGCGGCGGGTGGTTCCCCTTGATGAGCTGCATGTGGACAGGCATGAGGAATGGAAAGTTGAAAAAGGCGATAATGATCAGGTAAATCAACCCAATAGTCACGGACGGCGTCGCAGCAGCAGGGCCGAACGGTCGAAGGTCAACTTTCTGAAAGCCGATTGCCGGATTGACAGCCTGGGGCACCCGAGAGATGTTCATAGACTGTTGTGCGAGAGTCTGAATCCACCTGGGGCCAAACTCGGCAAGAACATCCAGCTGGAACGAGGACAAGGCCGGATCGATATAGCTCGAATATGTGGTCTGATCACGCGCGCTGATGATTATAAACTGAGCAGCGCCGTTGGGGTCGTACGACGAGTTCCCGTTCGTCACGGCATCATACAGGAGAGTGGTAGCATTGGGGTTGACAATGATTGCAGCATATGCAAGTTCGTCATAGACGCCTTGTCGGACGGCCCAAGGATCATAGTTGAAATCTGCGGGAGATCTGATTTTGTATCCGACATGCTCCGTGTCCGACTCAATGAAACGATTCGCGACATCAGTCACAGCCGGTCCAATGATGGGTGTGATGCTCTCATTCTTGTATGGTTCCACCTGGTTATCGAAATCGACCACCCAAATAGTCAAAGTGTGCAGTCTGTCCTCAGACCGGAATTGAATGGCCCAGTAAAGGGATAGAACACAGAGAATAAAAACACACAATCCCAATACTATTGAAATGTCTTAGTTGCCATTGATAATAAAAATAATTGCTCCTGTCAACCACTTACTTGTCCGACCCCAGAGGAATATGATTCGCTTGCGGGTCTCTCGTAAGGCTGGATCCCAGAAGCCAACCGAGGCTTGGGGAGGTTCGGTCCCTGTCTCGGTCGACTCGGTGCTGTTAGACTCCGTCTTGTCGTCAACCGTCATGGCTATGAGGTGACTGTCGTCTCAGAGACACGGATAATCAAAAGACTTCGATTAAAAAGTCGAGGAAAAGGTCAGGGATATTAATACTGCCGCAAACATGACGTGCAGCCACCGGCTTCCGATAGAAAGTCGATGATGAAGTGCTCGCTGAGAACGGCAGATGGCCTTGCACTCGGGATATTTACCCACTCCGGATGTCCGCATATGCTCTCCGACACCCTTAATTCCGACACTAAATGTGATTCTTCCACAGCTGAGTCAGGAAGGACATTTGTCTGTCAGAAACTGTGGAATTAAGAGTCATTTCTCGATCTCGCTGATAATTCGGAGTACGCTGTCAGCCCCGTTGGACTTGGACCCTGTTGGGTTGCCCTCTCATTCCGAACGGGACTCGTCATCACTCCCTCCCTCCTATGTAACATTGCGACGGGAATCATCAATCGATGATGAAGAACACAACCAGCCTGATGAGCTGAAGCGATGTATGACGCGGCTCCTTTTACTTAACTTCAGGTACCAGCTTAATAATCATGCTTTGATGGGCTAGATGTGCCATGGATCCATCTTATCCCATCAATACACCCTTGAGTAGCTTCATCATGCGTCTATATAGATGTTGAGCCTGAATGACAGCTTCAGACTAAGACCCTTGAGTTTCTGGTACAACAATGCTGCCATAAAGAAATCGTCAGTCGTCATTGACAGCGTCCCTCAACGGTTGGCAAAGTAGTGCCGTGGAGAGCGACTGGGAAATGCGGGGACACTTTCATTACTGGAGAATTATTCCACCAAGCGTTGTCGATCGACGGCTACAGACCATGCAGGGTGCAGTCAAGGTTTTAAATCACACATGGCTTCGATGGAATTCTATGTGCCCAGAATGAGAAGGACCTCTCCGCAATAGCAACCATTAAAAGGCACGGTGCGATGCTGCATCTCCAACGATGGTCACTCCAACAACTTATATCCTAGGCGACGACCCCAACACAACGCATCGCTTGAATGCCTGCTCTTTCCAACAATCAGCCATCACAACTTTCTCCGGCCACCAATACGCTGGCTTCTACACCTCCAAATTGTCTCTTGGTCCCAGACAGGTCACGCTTGCACGCCATGATATTACCAAGCCTACATCGCCGTGGCAATGCTTGACCTTTGAAGATTACCAGCAGACAACAGATGACGGACACAACGCCATCTCCATTGGCATCTGCGCCGGCGACGGTACGATACACATCGCTTTTGACCATCACTGCGACACGCTGAAATATCGCGTCTCACGACAGGGACTAGCCCACGACACCAGCCCGACAAGCTGGAAGCCAGAGAACTTCGGTCCCATTCTCAGCCATCTCCCTGGACAATCCGCTGACCTGGTCAACGTAACCTACCCTCGCTTCCTCCCCGCAGGGAACGAGCTATTCTTCGAATGCCGCATCGGCAAGTACGTAACCAGCCACGACCCTGATCTCGAGCCCTGCTAACCGAACCAGAGCAGGCGCCGGCTCCGACATCCTCTACCGCTACGACAGCAAGACAGCACATTCCGTCCCCCTCGGCACCTATCTCATCGGCACCAAATGCAACCCGTATCCCAACGGACTCTCCTTCCATCAAGGCACCAACACCCTCCACGTCACCTGGACCAACCGCCACTTCATCGACTACGAAGGCGCTAATGACCACACATCCACCGCACATAAAGCACAAGCTGGCCCAAACGGCCCGGAAAACAACGAGGGCCTCTACCACGCCTATGCCACCAACAGCGGAACCACCTGGCACAGTTCCCGCCGCGAGCTAGTCACCACACCATCAGGCCTAGATTCCCAGGACACCAGGCTCCAGGTGAAAGACATCCCCCGCAACAGCGGGATCATGAACCAGGAGGCCCAGCATGTGGATGTACACGGGGGCATCCACGTCCTGAACCGCGAGAGCACGACGGGTCAGGAGAGCTGGGTGCATTACCATTGCCCTCCCGACGGGGACGGAGACGGTGGACGATGGGGTTTCGCTCCGTTGCCGCTTATCTACCCGACTCCGACTGGGCCTCGCGGGAAGGTCGTCTACTGCGCGAAGACGGATGCGGTGCTATTTGTTCTTCCGTCGAATACCGAGAATGAGGTTATTATCGCGCGGTCGCGGCGAGATAATGTGCGGGCGGACTTTCGAGTTGTGTGGCGGGGCGTGGGGTTTGTCGGCGAGCCGTTGGTGGATGAGGAAGCGCTGTTGGAGTTTGATGTATTGTCGATATTCATGCTCAAGGAGACTGAGATGGGAGGTAGAAAGATCATCGTATTGCAATTTGATGTTGATGATCTGGTGTAGCTAGGTGAACTGTGTCCAAGTTTCATCCAATTGATACTTTCTTATAACAACTTGTTCTGATTCTTGGTTTCACTCTGCTTTGTGGCTATGAAGCTTCAAAATATACAGTATCTTTTAGTTCCTTGTATTAGCATTCAGAAGGTGTCTTTATGGCAGTCCAGCACCTCACCATATCTCGATATCTATATATTTTAGGAATCCCACACATTTCATCCCGCTCACTACTACTCTGTAGATGACTAAAACGCAGTGTTTCCACTGATGATGCCAACTAAAATTCTATAGTAAAGGTCTTTATCCGAGAGATGTTCATACCTACAGAAAGTGATTTTAGCATGGAAAATGAATGTGAAGTAAGCTTTGAATTATTCCCTTCTAAGGGTCAATTACATATTCAGGTTTCATGTTAATCTAACATATGATGAACAAAAGAAAAACAGAAATCATTACCATCAGCGCATTTCCAGCAGTGAAACATACACCTTCCGCGAAGATGGGCAGGGCATAAACAAGGACAACATAGCATCCCAACAGCGGTATGCAGTAATAAAGACAATTGAAGAAGGAAATCGAGAAAAAGGGTAAAAGTCAGGACAAAAAAAATTAGAACAATTAGACCGCCACGTCTATAAGCTCAGGATGCACGCACAGGGCAGATCTTTGTACAGGCAATTCGTGTAATACAGAGACTCGTTACTCGGGCTTGCGTCCGACCATCAAATACATGGGAGTGAAGAGCTTCTTCTCACCGCCAGCGACCAGGCAGTCACCGGCGATGGCGAGACTGTCGGCTGTCTTCTGGGTGCCCTTAGGGAAGAGACCAACGGTCTCCATAGCTCCGCAGAAGCGATGGGCGATGCCACGACCCCACCATGTCATACGGGCAATGGTGAACAGATCCCAGGGCGAGGTCATGTGCTTGAACGATCCTGCCAGAGGGTAGTACCAAGGAATGCGGTCGGGGCGATCGGCGAGATCCTCGTTGTGCAACAGCTCGAAACCGGCGTTCTTGAAAGCAGTGAGACCCTCCGAAATCTTGACCATGTTGGAAATACCATCACCCAGCTCGATACCCAGACGGATCTTGCGATGCTCCGGGTTGTCGTTGTCGTACTCGTCGGTCATGAGCCACTCGTAGACACCGAAGATTCCACCGGGCTTCAACACACGGAAGATTTCCTTGTAGACACCCTCAAGTTCGGGAGCGTGGACGGTGGCCTCGATAGCGTAAACGGCATCGAACGAGTTATCAGGGAACTTCATCTGCATAAAGTCGCCCTTGACGAAGCTGAGCTTATGGCTCAATCCCTCGCGCTCGGCGTACCGAGTCGCACGCTCAATCTGGTAGTCGTTGTTGTTCAGTCCAACCACGTTGGCATCGGTGAATTTGACAATCTCGCGGGCAGGACCGCCGACACCACAGCCGACATCCAGGACCTTCATACCCTCCTTGATGCCCATCCGGTGAGCCAGGTAGTGTTCATGGCGGGCAATGGCTTGGTAGAAGGGTTCGCCCTGGGCGAAGCGGCAGAAATGGAACGAAGTACCCCATCCATACTCGTAAAGATCCGTGGCCAGGTTGTAGTAGCTGCAGCAACGTTAGAGTAGTCCAATGGCTCCGAAGCTCAGGGTTTTATGACATACTGTCGGGTCAATGTGGCATACTCGGCACGGCGGGCCTATGGATAAGACAATTAGTCCAGAATTCCACATGGCAAGAATAGAGGGATTACTCACCGCGCGAATCTCCTCTGTCTCGTCTTCAGCGGACTTGTTGTCCCAATGCTTGAAGTACTCGTCTACAGCGGCCTTCTGGGCAGCAGAGTCCTTGCCCCGAAGAGCAGCAAAGCCACCCCGAGACTGGGCAGACTTTCCGTGCATTGCGCGATTGAACTCGGCATCGCGCGCGTGGTTCTCCTGTTCCAAAGCAGCGGGGGCCATGACTGAGAGCAATTGGGCTTTTGGATGTGGTAGGGGTAGAAAAGGGGTGGATCACTGATCGCAGAAATGAACTCGTACAGAAAAGAAGAGAATCAAAATACTGGCCCAAGTGGAAGAATTGAAAGGTAATTATATCCACAAGAATCACAATGTTGAAGCAGACGGACCAAGCAGGCAGAAGGGAAAAAAAGAAGGGGGGAATGTGAATGTGATTGCCAGCGAGACAAAAATCCCAGATCGGCCAAATAAAGGAGACGGAATTGCGAGTCCTGACAGGAAGCCTCAGGCCAATCACGGCGGCGATACCTGCCCAGTCAGCCAAAACGGGGACGCTTTACACCTGAAAGGGCTGTCTGGGGTTCTGATCGGAGAAAGTGGTGCTCCGAGAGTGGCTGTGAAGTGGATCTAGGCCATTCCAAGAAGAGTCTGGTCTTGGGCAAATTGGCTACAGCGGGCCTGCTCAGGGCAGATCCAAGAGATTTGATCCGTCGTGTTGCGTATTGCGGATAGTGTATCCTTCGTATTTGCGTATCCGTCGGGATGCACTCGCTTGCATATACGGAGTACCCTTACTTCCAAGATGTTTCGACTTTCAATTTATAGAAGTTTGAGATGTGCTTACCATACGGAAATCTGGAGATGCCGGATCCTTCGAATGTTAGATTTCGATCGTTAAACAAGTCTCCGGACTCAGTCGATCCACGACGAACAGTCACATGACTATATCACTTACATAATATACCTAGCCACAATCAGCCACAGAATGAGCAAACCTGAAGACTAAGGTATCGATAAACGTTGCTTGCTTTTGCAATCACTTCTACACATATTCTTTCAGTCTAACTGCGATCGCAACTTATCGCTGATCCACCAGTGAGCTGACAAGTACAATCTGTCACCCTCCGATATAATCATAATATGCCTCCGCCTCAGATTAAGCAAGATCTAAACCGGTCGGGCTGGGAGTCCACTGATTTCCCTTCTGTTTGCGAGAACTGCCTTCCCGACAACCCTTATGTTCAGATGCTCAAGGAGGATCATGGCGCTGAATGTAAAATCGTGAGTTGCACATTCTCTGTGTACGTCTGAATATCTACTAATTATGATGTAGTGCACACGTCCCTTTACCATATTCCGCTGGAAGGCAGACCGAACGGCACGGACCAAGCGAACCACCATCTGCCTCACCTGCGCGCGCCTGAAGAATTGCTGCCAGTGCTGTATGCTCGATCTATCATTTGGCCTCCCGATCGTTGTCCGTGATGCCGCGTTGAAGATGGTCGCTCCCGGCCCAGAGAGCTCAATCAACCGTGAATACTACGCGCAGGAACACGAGAAAGAGATTGAAGAAGGTCGCGGGGCGGTCGAAGCGTACGAGAAGACGGATGAGAAGGCGCGCGAGCTGCTGCGAAGACTGGCAAATAGCGAACCATACTACAGAAAGCCTCGGCAGCAACTTGAAGGTCCATCCGACGGATCGACCGAGGCACCACCCACTGACGCTCCAGTCGTACATAGCCGCTATGGAAACGGACCCGGGCCTATTCGGACAAGCGAGAGTAGAAGAGGAACACCACTGCCTGGCCGAGGCCGTGGCAATATGCGCGGTGGTCGCGGTGGCCGTCCGTTTCCTGGCACTGCTCAGATCCCTCCCTCTCCCGAAGATTATCTGCCCCCTGCGGACCCGAATATCACATCCCTCTTTGTGACAGGTGTGGAGGACGACCTTCCGGAACACACGCTCCGGACCTTCTTTACACAGTTCGGTCAGCTCCGGTCTTTGATCTGTTCGCACCGCGCTCATTGTGCTTTCGTCAACTTTGCGACTCGAGAGGGCGCAGAAGCTGCTGCGCAGCATTGCCAGGGCAAGGCCGTTATTCAGGGATGTCCCCTGCGGGTGCGGTGGGGTAAGCCCAAGCCTCTGGACAACATGGACAGGGAGGAGCGGATGAAGAATGCTCGTGAGGGTCGCCAAACCGCCCAGGCACAAAAGGGTGGAGAGCCAGGACAGAGAGCTATCACAGCTACTGGTGAGGCTACGACGGAGAAGCCACAGGGATTTCTTGTGGCACCACCCCCAGGTAGTGGGGAGGTTCAGTACTCGAGCTTGTCGGGCGATTGAACCATATCTTCTCAATTTCGATGTTTGGTCTCATTAGTACGCGATCTGGGTCAAAAGGTATTGTGTATATGTTCAAGCGGGCGTTGTTTGCTATGCATTTCTATCGAGAAAAATACCCCAAGAGACGCCAGGAGGTGAGGAAAGCATGGGTATACTATAATACAAATTGCAAATGCAAGTTTTCAGCCGTCATCCTTCCATCCCAAATATAATTGCACAATATTCAATCCCCATCAAATGTTCGCTGTTCGCCCACTCATGCGGAGCACGGCTTATCAACTTTGACCTTCTTCCCAGCAACTCTGATCGAATCATTATCTCCACGCTCGATATCGTCGTGAATGCGGAGCTCTATGTACCATCAAACGTTAGCGCATGCAACGCAACACCCATGATCAAGTCCAAGTACGCCACGCAGCAGCAATCGCATCAATCGTAGGCAATACGCACCCCATTTGGCATTCTCGTCGTTACTATCCCTTACGCCTTGTACAATGTTGTGTCGGAGAATGTCGGCCACCTCTTTGGCATGGTTGATGTGCATTGGCGTATCAATCCCCTCGCGGCGGTGTGCGTCAAACTGGCGACGGGCTTCCTGACGAGCAGCGATCAGAACACGGAAGTCGTCTATGATGAGAATCGTTAGTTGCAGGATACCAGCCACTGCAGGTGGATGATTGACCTTGGAAAGCGATGCGGGTAGCGCGGAGGATCTGTCGGTAGGCGCTGCGCGCTGAGACTGCGGTTTGCGAGGCCATGATTTCAGATTTCAGATTCCAGAGTGATTGGTGAAGGCAAGGTAGATTGGTCGTCTTTCTGACGTGATGTGTCGCTTCGTCTCCTGCTCCGTCCTTCGGTTCGTTCTTGGGACAATAGAGAAATAGATCTCTTCCAAGGGGAGCAAGTATCAAAAAGGTTTCAGAGCTAGATTGAAAGTGACTTGAATGTAAATCAAAGATGAAATTGACGTCCTTAGATCCAGCAGTACCTAGTCTTCGAACATCTATCCTCGATCCATTGATCTCCGAAACTCCCGCTTCTTCATTGGCCCAGGCCGGGGCGGGAAGTCTCAGCAGAAAAAATAAAAATTGCCATTCGTTTTTCATTTGTTGTCGATCGTTGGCGGCACACAACTTTGGACCTCGTCCGTCACCCTCCTTCTTCCTCTTTCGAAGTCACGGACATTTCTGCCCTTTGTATTATTACAATGGCTTCTCACCAGGTCGTTAATGTTACCCTCCCAGCCCTTCCCCAGGGCTGGAGTGCCGAGAAGGATTTCACGGCCGTTGGCAGTCTGTCTGCCACCACACAGAGAAACTTGGAGCCCGTCGGCCCTCACTTCTTGGCTCATGCTCGCAGAGTAAGCGGCCTAGGACGAGATTTTGTTTTGATCAGTGCAAGCTAACGAGTTTCTAGAAGCGTCACCACCGCACTTTCTCCGAGGACGAAAGAATCCAGGCTCAGCAGAACGTCAAGAAGACTGAGGATGATGGGGATGACGAGATCTCCGAGCCTGAGGACCCCATGATGCTGTCTAGAGATGCTAAGGACTGGAAGGTTCGTTCATTCATATCCGATCTCACTCTTAAAATTTGTATTGACCTCTATAGGCCCAAGATCACTACGCTGTCCTCGGTCTGTCTAAGTACCGCTGGCGTGCTACTCCCGAGCAGATCAAGCGCGCCCACCGCAAGAAGGTCCTCCGCCACCACCCCGACAAGAAGGCCGCCCTGGGAGACCGCGACGAGAACGACAACTTTTTCAAGTGCATCCAGAAGGCCAACGAGTTGCTGACTGACCCCGTCAAGCGTCGTCAGTTCGACTCCGTCGATGAGGCTGCCGACGTTGACCCCCCATCCAAGAAGGACATTGCCAAGCGCGGTTTCTACAAGAGCTGGGGCCCTGTCTTCGAGGCTGAAGGCCGTTTCTCCAAGGTTCAGCCCGTCCCTCAGCTCGGTGACGAAAACAGTACCCAGGAGGAGGTCGAGACCTTCTACAACTTCTGGTATAACTTTGACAGCTGGCGTACATTTGAATACTTGGATGAGGATGTTCCCGATGACAACGAGAACCGTGACCAGAAGCGTCACGTTGAGAAGAAGAACGCCAACGCCCGCCGCAAGCGCAAGAGCGAGGATATCGCCCGTCTACGCCACCTTGTTGACGACTGCCTTGCTCAGGATGAGAGAATTAAGAAGTTCCGTCAGCAGGCTCGTGCCGGCAAGGACAAGAAGCGTCTCGAGAAGGAGGCCGAGGCCAAGCGTCTGGCTGAGGAGAAGGAGAAGGCTCGTCTCGAGGAGGAGGAGCGCAAGAAGAACGCCGAAGAGGCCGCCAAGGCCGAGCGTGAGAAGAACAAGAAGGCCAAGGAAGCTGCTAAGAACGCTGCTAAGAAGAACAAGCGTGTTCTCAAGGGCTCTGTCAAGGATGTCAACTACTTTGCCGAGTCTGGCGAGCCTTCTCCCGCTCAGGTCGACTCTGTCTTGACTGATGTCGACCTCATTATGAGCAAGATCGATAGTGAGGAGCTCGCCGCTCTGGCCGAGCGCCTCACTGCTGCTGGCAAGGACGCCGCCGCGGTCAAGGGCGTGTGGGCCGAGGAGGCCAAGAGACTGGTCGACGCCGGCAAGCTCAAGGATGGCGAGACCAAGTCTTTTGCTTAGATGATTGGCTCGATATAGACCGTGCTTTGTTTGTGAGTTTCCAGCGGATGAAGATGATCTACTTTGACATGCATGGGGTGTAGATAGATCTGTCGCAGAATATGCAACGACTTGATGATAGAATCTAATTATCAACTTGGTTTCGCCCAACGTCCATTAAACGTAGCGACTCAACGGTTAGCCCCTGTCGTCGGTTTCATGGAATTCTTGGACTAGTTGACCGTAATGACACTTGCGAACAATCGCTTGTGGTGGCTTTCGATATCATAGTAGAAAGCCTGGCATGAGACTAGGAGCTTTATCTGCGCTGTGGGATATCTCTGCTCTGAGCCGTAATGAGAACGATGATGCGTATGAGGCGAGGCTTCCAGGTTTACAAACCCAAAGACTCCAATATGTTCGATGCATGAATCTCACATTTTCCCAGTGGGTAACATGCAGCAGGCAATTGGTCCTTTCAAGCTCAAGCCCAAGCTAAACATAATGCCGACATAAGCGATGCCAATCGAGACAAGAACTTCTCAGCAAAGCTTGAAAAGCTTGGAGTGCTGATTGCACAGTACAACTTCAGCTTGGTCTGTTTAGCGAACCTCGCTTAGCTGCAAGTGGCTATTAGCACAGATGGATTTCCTGCATGGAATGGTCGTGGAACCGTGAAGGTACCGCTGGTTGATGCCATCCCCAGCACGTGCGCTCCCGAGTGGGACTGTTCGGTCTGTTCCTTGCTCCAACGCTCCGTCTCCAAGTCTCCATCCATCTCCAACTTGCATCCTGTTGTTAGCGTCGTCTGGAACGTCCAGTCGCTGATAATGTGGCCGCAACGTGCAGTCGTCCTGGAGATTGTTCATCGGCCAGAAACGGAGATAAAAGAATTCTCGGAAATTAACCACTTCCTGGCAGAATGTCACGCCGGGACTTGCAGCTTCGGTGGATGCCGGACCAATACGGTTCCTCGTGTATGCACCTCTCCATCAAGTTTGATCGGTTGACTTTGATGGGACCTATGATCCGACCAGGAACTTTCGTGGATATATAAAGCTCCTCAGCTCGAGGGAATATAGCTAGCTTCTCCCGATTCAATTCCATTCCTTCCAGATCTACCACAGAGACAGTCGGGCACTATGTTCACTAAGCAGTCTCTCGTGACCCTCCTTGGAGGCCTGTCGGTCGCTCTGGCGCAGACTTCCTCTGAGCAATACCCTTCTCTCGTGGAGATTGAAGCTGCTCAGGCTACTGTTCAGCCATACTCCCCTGTCTCCAATGTCCGGGGTCTTGCCTTCAACCGTTTTGTCAACATCTGGTTGGAAAACACCGTGTGTGACGCACATCTGAATCGAAATACCAGAACAGTCACTAACCAGTTCAATATCGCAGGACTTCGACAAAGCTGCCGCTGATGCTCACATGTCCGCCCTGGCCAAGAAGGGTCTTCTTTTGACCAACTTCTGGGCCGTCACTCACCCCTCGGAGCCCAATTACTGCGCTGCTGCTGGTGGTGATACCTTCGGCATGGACAACGATAACTTCAACCAGGTCCCTGCCAACGTTTCTACCATTGCCGACCTGTTCGACACCAAGAACATCGCATGGGGAGAATATCAAGAGCACCTTCCCTACCCTGGCTACCAGGGCTTCCGGTACCCGGAGTCCGGCCCCAATGATTACGTGCGCAAGCACAACCCCGCGATCCTGTTCGACTCTATCACTCAGGATGCCACGCGACTCCGTCAGATCAAGAACTTTACCAGCTTTTACGATGATCTGAAGAACCACCGTCTGCCCCAGCACATGTTCATCACCCCTAACATGACCAATGATGCTCACGACACAAACATTACCTTTGCTGGTACCTGGTCCTGGAACTTCCTGTCTGAGCTGCTCGAGGACGAGTACTTCACCAAGGACACTCTGATCCTCCTCACCTTTGATGAAAACTCTACCTACAAGATCGGCAACAAGATCTACAGCATTCTGCTTGGTGGTGCTGTCCCCGAGCACCTGATTGGCAAGGAGGATGACACCTTCTACACCCATTACTCCGTGATCGCTTCTATGTCTGCCAACTGGGGTCTGCCCTCCCTTGGTCGCTGGGACTGCGGTGCCAACCTGCTCAGCTTTGTTGCCGAGAAGACCGGCTACGTCAACTGGGAGGTTGATACCAGCAACCTCTACCTCAACCACAGCTACCCTGGTCCCCTCTCCGCCAACAGTTACACTCCCAACTGGCCCGTTCCCCTGACCAAGGGATCCTGCTCCGCCGGTCACGGCATCCTGAAGGATGTCCACGAGACCTACAAGAAACTTGCTCCTACCTACAACTACACCAGCCCTGTCCCTTACGATTCGGCTAGCAAGACCAACGTTGGTGTCAAGTACACTCGCAAGCTGGTAGGTCTTTCTCGGCCAGTCGAAATTCGATGATTACTAATGAAGCTTTTGCAGAAGCACGGCCATGTTGAGAGCCAAGTCACCGAGTAAATATGCTTTCATGTCGAGCTGCCTTTAAGTCAGGCACATGTATGTTCTTAATGGTCAATTGATTAGATGCATCCGAAATGAACACTGTAGATAGAATACTTCGGTCGTACTGTTAATGATTTAACCCAAAGACGTACTATACTCAAATCTAGAAATAAACAGACATAGCAAGAATCATTCAGGTAGCAAAGCACCGGGCATCATCATCATCATCATGCAAGCCCTTGACCAGTTGACAGGATCCTTATCAGGCGACAACCAGACTAGGCCCCACATATTGCCCCATCTAGCACTAGCCCAACTCCCCTATGCTTATCAGCAACGAGTCCCGTTTCCCCGCAAATTCCCCTTCTTCACTTCCCAGACTCGACGCTAAAGACGTTTCTTTGGTATTGCTCTCCACCTTCTAGGCCCTGATGCCGCTCAATAAACGACCCCGGACACAGCCGATTGTTCGCGTTCGAACCGGCTGCTGGACCTGCAGACGCCGTAAGAAGAAATGTGATGAAAATCGGCCCGTCTGTGGCGGATGCACGCGAAACAAACTCAGCTGTCACTGGCCTGCTCACGTATCATCTTCATCAAGACCCCGTGATAATGACAGGGATGCAATGCTGGCACAGACTGATCAGCACTCATGCGGAAGTGGTCAGATGGACGAGGAGGATATTATCATTCAACACGGCAGCCCGCAGTCCTTTCGAAGCTCAATCTCACATGGTGCCTCGTCGCATTCGCCCTTCTCGCCTGCTGTTTCTCCGATCTCACCTGCGCAGTCAGCGAGTGTGCCAGCTGTACCTCCCACAGAGGCGCTGGGGCTGGCAGATCTTGACGCTGCGTCTCTAGTTCCCATGGGCTATTCTCACCCTGCCAGAAGCAACAGCCAAGGCTCGATTGGAGATGTAATGCCGCGGAGTCTGTCAATGCTACCCGGGTACAGTCCGGAGTCCTTCCAGTTATTGAGTCATTACTTGGCCACTACTGCCGACTGCATGGCGAATGGATCGACGCCGGTGAACCCGTTCCTGGTCCAAATTGTTCCACTGGCGTTCACCAGTGACCTTCTGCTGCAGCTGGTTCTGACGCAGAGTGCGGCTCATCGAGCGTTCCGTTGCCGCAACGACTCGGACGAGGTTGCTCAGAGTCACTACACCAAGGCGCTGCAGTTGTTTCGCAAGGGTGTCACCGATTTTATTGATGGGAAGGAGTCGAATCCGCTCATGCTTACCGTTGGAGCTTTGTTGATGTGTTTTACTGAGGTGCGTTTTCACGAGCGGTACGGAGGAAAGTGACTGACGAGGCCTAGACCGCCAGAGGAGACATGAATGGCACGATCTTTGACCACCTGTCAGCCGCGAATTCATTGCTTATCCGTCTACTTACCCAGAGCGATAGCGCGGTCCCGAAAGACCTCAAAAACTTTGTCATTGAGTACTACACCTACACTGCGACAGTGAGCATGATATCAATTGATGCACGGGTCAGCCGTCAGCTCTTCTTGAACTTTGACCTAGAGCAGCGAGCGCGTCAGCTGTTAGAATCGGAATACGTCGGTAATCTCTGCGGCTGCTGGCTTGAACTGCTACTGATGATCCCGTGTATTTTTGACTTGGGACGGCAATGGATGATGGAGGATGGCCAGCCGAATCTTCCGACTGCGGACGACATCGCCATGTTTGGCTCATTACAAGCACAAATCTTACGTTGGGCACCTTATCCTTCGGTAACCCCCGAGGTATTCATGGCAGGACGAATCTTCCAGCAGGCGATGCTTCTCTATCTTTACACGTCGCTGGGTGCTTTTTCACGGGCCGAGCAGGGAATATATCAAGGCCTTATTGATGCTGCAATCACAGACGCGATGTCTTACCTGAATCAACTCTCGGCTACAGCTCGTATCAATTCAGGACTCTGCTGGCCTATTGCTGTTGTGGGATCCTGCCTGTCTGACATGGACCAACAGAATTCTTTACGACAGCGCCTGCACACAATGGTAAACACCTTTGGTCTCGGGAATATGCAACGGACGCTACTTTTGTTGGAGCATATGTGGCAAGTGCCTCTGGAGGACGCCGGACCATGGAATATCTGTCGGGCTATGCAGCAGCATCAAATCTGGATCTCGTTTGCGTAACGGGTAACACGATAATATTTCAATTTGGCTAATTTACAGTCATGATTCATTGCATTCAACCGCCAATACAATCGGCGGACCCCAGCGTTCCTGCTTATGAGCCCAGGTTCTTGGGCGCTTCGGTGGCAGGACCCTCGGGAGTCACATAGGCCTTGGTTAAGCCGCCGTCCACAACGAAGTCTGCGGCATTGACGAAGCTGCTTTCGTCGCTGGCCAGGAAGATGACGGCGTGAGCCTGCTCGATCGCCTCACCGAATCGGCCGGTGGGAAAATGGACCTCGCGACGGAATCGCTTCTCCTTGTCGTCTCCAAGCCAATCCTGCAGAAGTGGGGTGCTGATATCGTTAGCTTTAATCGCAATCAGGGGAACTGAATGGCATACTTGAGAGGCGCCGGGCACAGCGAGTTGAAACGGAATCCCTCACGAGCGTGGACGATGGCCAGTTCACGAGTCATCGCAAGAACAGCACCCTTGCTGGCGGTGTACGCAAGCTGAGGGGTAGCCGCGCCAACCAGGGCAACCATACTAGCTGTGTTGATGATACTGCCCTTCTTCTTGCCGTGCCTGCGCAAGCTCTTGACCGCGTGTTTCGAGCCGTACCACACACCCTTGACATTGATATTCATCGTCAAGTCCCAAATATTCTCGGGGGTCTCCTCCGAGTCTCCATCCTTGGGATGCATGATCCCCGCATTGTTGAACATCACGTCCAGACCGCCCCAGGAATCGAGATGCGCCACCGCCGCCTCCACCTCGGACTCCTTGGACACGTCGACGACACGATATTCCACCCGGCCGTCGTGCTGCGGCACGACCTCGTGAACCTTGGCAATAGCCCTTTCGAGGCCTGGCGCGGAGATATCGGTCATAAGGACGGAGGCGCCCTCGCGGAGCATGAGAATTGTAGTTTCAAGGCCGATGCCACTGTCCTTTCGTCAGCCATTCTCTTTTCCTTATTTGGAGCTCAGAAAGCAAAAAGAAACATGAAATGAAATGAACGTACCCAGCAGCGCCGGTGACAACGGCGTTCTTTCCAGCGAGTCTTCCAACCATTGTATCCTGAATTTATAGTATATGTATACTAAATCAAGCGCTTGATCTCAAACACTTGTATCTCTGTATACTCAACAAACCAACTCAGGATCCTACCATCTTTATATCCAACTTATCCCGGCCGAGGTCGGTTCTCGTCGGTCCCACCATAGCTGCGCGGACAGTTCATCTCTCTCCACTTCTGTCGCATACTCTTCAGCTCTTGTTTCCATTACATGATAACGCGAGACACGTGGAGGGGTCCTTACCATCAGCGGAGCGCTGTGAGGGTCACACGACGCCCGGTTGCCCGCCGTCGCGCTGCCGAAATGATAGCTGATAAGGGGTGGTGGGGTAGCCCCGCGGCGCGGTAAGGGAGTGCGGGTGGGGCAGTCGGCGCGGTTATTTTTTTTGCAGATACATGCTGCGTAGAGGGTGTAGCACTATGAACGATCGCAAGGAGCTGGGGACGTTTACGCTATTGTCTATGTTCCATGGCTTGAGAGCCGAATTCCCTGAAGCAAGCTGGCAATGTACGGATACACATTGGTAGAGGAGCAAATTGATAAGTGAGATCGAAAGCAGGCATTGAATTCAGTATATACAGTCTGGCAACTAACTGGCTAACTAAGCCTGTTCCTCCTTGATATGATAGCTCTTCAATCTGTAGAACCCGTCAAAGGCATGCGGTCCGAGCGTACATCCCAACCCGGAATTCTTCCAACCAACCCACGCAAGGTCCTAATCGTATCATCAGTAGCCATCTTGAGAAGCTGAACGGGATGTATACGTACCGGACTGGGATAATCACACCGGTTGATGAACACTGTCCCGGCCTCGATCTCAGCAATCAACTCCTCCCCGCGCGCGATGTCTCTCGTCCACACGCTAGCGGTCAGCCCGTACCCACTGTCGTTCATGAGCGAGACCGCCTCCTCGTCGCTGGACACCTTCATGATGGGGAGCACGGGGCCGAAGGTCTCGTCTTGCATGACGGTCATGTCGTGCGTGACGTTTGTGAGGACCGTGGGGGCGATATAGTTCCCCTCTGGTTTCTGCGAGGGGACAGCAAGGAAGGATTCATTGGGGGGAGTTGCGTTGACGGCGCCCTTGGAGAGCGCGTCGTCGATGTGCGACTGGATGGTTTTCACCGCGAGACGGGAGATGACGGGGCCGGTGGTTGTGGATTTATCGGTTGGATCACCGAGTTTGTACCTAGTATTGCATTGCAGGTGTCAGGTTTCTCTGTGGTGAGTTAGAATGGGGGTGGACGGGGACGGGGCTTACGTCTCAAGCTCCTTTTGCACCTCCACGACAAAGGCATCGTGGACGTCCGCGTGGACATACACCCGCTCGATGGAGCAGCAGCTCTGTCCCGAGTTGAAGACCGCGCCGTCGACGATCTGCGCCGCGACGTAGGGGATGTCTGCGTCTGCGCGGACGTAGGCCGGGTCCTTGCCGCCCAGTTCTAGGTTCACGGGGACGATGCGGCGGGCGGTTGCCTCGCGGATGCGCACGCCGCCTGCTGTGGAGCCGGTGAACGAGACGAGTTTGATTTGGGGGAGTTTGACGATCTCGTCGAGGACGTCGAGGGAGCCGACGTGGATGAGTTGGAGGACGTTGGGCGGGAGGCCGGCTTGGGTGAAGTACGTGAGGAGGCGTTCGCCGATGAGGGGCGTCTGCGGGGAGGGACGCAGGATGACTGTGTTGCCGGCCAGGAGGGCTGGGACGAGGGTGTTGATTGTGATGAGGTAGGGGTACTGTGCTTGTTAGATGGATGTGACGAGGCGATGCTTCAGGAGAACGACACGTACATTCCACGCTGTCGCGATCAATGTCGGTCCAACCGGTTCCTTCTTCACGCTGCGTCGGAATCCCTTCTCTGGCTGTCCTGGGTGTTCGAGCAGGCTGTCCTCCGCGATTGATAGGAGGTAATCGGCGCGTTTGCGCATGGTCTCGATCTCTTTTGCGCTGTAGGCAATCGGACGGCCCATTTGCGTGGTGAGCTCATTGCTCAGGGTGTCGATGTTCGCCGCAATCAAGTCAAGGGCTTTGACGATGATATTTTCGCGCTCAGCGAGAGTGGTCTTCTTGTATGATTTGAATGCTTCATAAGATGCTTGTGCGATTGCGCGGGCCTCTTCCAGAGAGGTTCCCTGGTGTTCGAAGATGACTTCGTTGGTGGAGGGAGAAAGGGTGCGAATCTGGTTGGCCATTTTGGTTTGGGTGTAATAATATGTGATGCTGGATAGTATCACAATTTATTCCACTGTTTCTTAATATACGAACTGTCCTGGTGATAAGAATAATAATTATGTGCTCTGGCATACTTCATCATTGCCCGCGCGGTCTTGAACTCTTGATAGCGATGTGGGGAATATTGGAGAGCGCGGTAAAGGCGTGGGGATTATTGTTTACTCTTCGCTTGCCTACTCTGTGATGCTGTGGACAATGTCAATCAATTACGAGATCACATTCATAGTTGAAAGCTCTCGAGCCCTTACTCCTATTCAATCACTCTGCTATACATGCTTGGCTACCGGATCATCAAGAAGAAACTTGCAAATCGCCTCCCCGACAACTGATCCATCATGCGGGTTTCCAGCTCGGGATAGACCGTCCTTGAACAGCTGGTCATCAAAGATCCCCATAGCATGCCGGGTCTCAATTAGCTTGCTGACCACAAACTCATCATACTCTGGATGGCCTTGAACACTAAAAATCCTCCCAGGGCTGTAGAGCCCTTGTACCTCACAGATGGAACTCGACCCTAAGTTGATACAACCCTCTGGAACTTCGTAGGCGATATCACGGTGCATTTGATGGAGGGACTGCCCAAAACGGTCAGTGAACGTTCCATACGCAAAGTATCCAACTTACCAGAACATTCTTAGAGAATAGTTCCCTCCCAGTATCAGTCAGTATAATCGGCTCAACTGCAATCTCCCATCCTCTGTCGCTTCGACCCACGCGGGCTCCCAGGGCACGTGCAATGATCTGATGACCGAAGCATATCCCAATAATGGGCTTCTTGTGATTTTCGTATACATCTCGAACATAGTTTGTCAATTCGATAATCCATGGCTCGTCTGAAAAGGCATCATGTTCTGCAATCCTGTTAGCTGTTGTTGCAAGGATTTCGCATGGAAAACGTACTGCTTCCGGTCAAGAGTATCGCATCACAGTCATCGGGTTTGGGATAGACAGAACTGTTCACAACATCCCATTTGGTGACCTGTAAACCCGCCTGAAATTCAAGTCCTTGCGCTTTCAAACCTGCTTTGAGGAGATTCTCGAAAAGGTCTCCATACGTCCCGTAGCGGTCCTTGACGGGCTGAATGGGCGCGTCGCACTCGAGGATTGCTGCACGAAGAAGGCGGGTCATGATGGATCCTTGAAATCAATAATTCTGGAGATGATGAGAGATGATTCTTTCTGAGCTGTCATCATGATAGATAATATCTAGTTGGTAATAATAATATCATCGCTACAGACACATGCAGCTGGAATGTTGATTTCCCCAACCCTTATCGATAAGCGCGGTCTCTCTTATCGCCTTTTCCCCTCACCAGCGCGGTCCGCGATAAAGCCCCCATAATCGGTGCCCCGCGGTCAGTGTCACAGCTGCGTCGCAAATCGCAATATGATGATGATCTTGCTTTGGATTGCATCGTCGCGGGTAAATGCAATTGGCCAATGGGTGTTTTGCACGAAACTCGGGTCCATGATGCCGGCGCAAAGCGGTATGTCCAGCAAGCTCCACAATGGCATCGATGTTGGTTGCGTCTTTTAAGAAGCTCTTGGAGACTTTTTCTCGTCTCAATCATATTTTGATCTCGTGTTTGAGTTGATACTATTCTGAAGATGACAAAGCATACAATCACGGTAGAGGATCTTCCTCGCCTTCTTGAACACGACATCAGCGTCAAAGTTGCCGGCATTGACTGCGATGGCATCCTACGCGGTAAGGTGATGGCCAAGGAGAAGTTCCTCGGCATCGCGCAGAAGGGCTTTGGCTTCAGCTCTGCGGTGTTTGGATGGGATATGCAGGATGTGCTGTACACTACAGATGCAAAGATCGCACCCCCCGAATCAGGCTATGTGGATTTCATCGCGGTGCCAGACCTCAGCTCCTACCGACGGATACCGTGGGAAGACAACATTCCCTTCTTCCTGGTGCGCTTTGTCCAGAACGAGAAGCCAGTCACTGCAGACGGCCGGAGCATGTTGAGATCGATAACGGACAAGCTTGCGGAGGCGAAATGCCAGGCCATGGCTGGAGGTAAGTTTCCTGGTCTCGGCCCAAGTATGTCGGCTAATGGGTGTAGTGGAACTCGAATTTATGAACTTCCAGACGCCTTCACAAGACGGATACGCCAATGGTTCGCAGATCCGCGATATCGCTGCCTTTCTGGAGAAGAATGCACCCGGTGCCCTTCGCCCGATGACCGCCGGCAGTTTTTCATACAGCGCGACACGACCGGTAGCCTTTAAGAAGTACTTCTGGGATATCTTCAACACCAGTGCGCAGTTCAACTGTGGTATTGAGGGGTGGCATACGGAGGGAGGGCCAGGTGTCTACGAAGCGGTCAGTCGAGTACACATGTAGGACAAGAACCTTTCTAATCAATTTACAGGCCCTCAAAGTGTGTAATGTTACCGAAATGGCAGATCGGGTGTCTCTGTTCAAGTAAGTCATCTTCGGCGCCGCCTAAACGGCATCTCGCTAACTTGTCAGACTTCTGGCAAAATCCATCGGGATCGAGCACGGAATCACCCCCTGCTTCATGGCAAAGCCCATGTACGGCCAACCGGGCAGCTCCGGTCACATTCACATCTCCCTTTGCGATTTCGAAGGGAAAAACCTTTTCGCCAGAGACACGCCTGACCCCAACGCCCCCTGGTCTGATGCAGCTGGTCTGTCAGACATGGGCCGACAATTCCTCGCCGGTCTCCTGGAGGCTTTGCCGGATATCATGCCCCTCTTCGCACCCACGATCAATTCCTACAAGCGCCTGGTGGAGAACTACTGGGCCCCTGTGAATATCAGCTGGGGCCTGGAGGACAGGATGGCGTCGATCCGCATCATCACGCCACCCGTGTGTAAGCCTGGCGCCACGCGGATGGAAGTGCGTATTCCCGGCGCTGACCTGCATCCTCACTACGCACTCAGTGTAATCCTTGCTGCCGGATGGCGGGGCATTGAGAAGAAGCTTGATATCAAGGTACCGCCTATGTCGGCGTTGAAGCAAGGTGATCGTCCGGAGCTGCTGCCGAACACGCTGGAAGAAGCCATCAAGAGATTTAGTGCGCCTGACAGTATTGCGCGGGAGATTCTGGATGGGGACTTTGTCGACTTCTTCACTGCTACGCGAGAGCATGAGCTCAAGGTGTGGAGGGAGGCTGTAACCGATTGGTAAGTTGTCGATCTTGAGTACTCTGACCGGTGACTAATACTTATGTATAGGGAATTCAAGCGATATATTGAGACTGTATAAGGATGCAGCATTCTTCAATTTGTATCATGAAGTTACCACGAATGACAGATATTGCCGAACCTTTGGACAAGTCTTTTTTTGAGTGTATGACGCAGAGACAAAGTAGTCATTATTTCCAACCTGCTGGCGGGGAAGAGCTAAGCTTATGTAGATGCCAACTTTACTGGTTGGTCCCGGTGCTCAATGGGTGAAGTACGTGATTTTGTACATTTCTCCTCGAGCTGTGATCGCAAAGGGCCATCAAGTATCATCTCAAGGGTGATGCGGATGTCTTTAGCCCGGAGGATCAGCCTTGAAATGGCTTGAGTACTATCTATGTCAAAGCTCCCTGGCAGTCTAGCAGAAGTACTATGGAGTGAATACTTGGGCATATATAACATTGCAAGTTTGATATGAATTATGAGCATTGGTGTGAGCAAACATTGCACCCAGTACTGGTACAACTTGTACTCTCCTATGAGATAAGCCAAGCCAGAAAACATGACAGTTACGACGATTAAACCGCATCCTGGACGCCCAATCCTCTAAGCATCAGGTCGTACTATCTACTACGCTCTAGATACCACTCACTTGTGCCTTGCCAGTTGGCGGCAAATGTAACCTCATCGCCCAATGCGGGGAACCATTGATAAGACCCCGCACCGCCAGTTGCATCAAGTCAACAATCTGCTTCTCGCTTGCAATCATTGTTCAAAGTTCAGAAAAAGACTGAACCCGGATCTCCAACATAATCTCTAACTAACCAGCCCATTAACCCTACGCAATGGACTTCTCCCTGCAAAACCACGAGTCCTTCATCGGCCGTCCAGCAACAGACCTGCCCACCCCATCAGTGGTGCTCAGCAAACCCATCCTGCAACGGAATATCGAACAGCTACTCCAGGATGTTAACGAGCTGGGAATCTCCTTCCGGCCGCATGTCAAGACGCTCAAGGTACGCACCTCCACTCTATCTCCTGCCACCCAACAAGCCTCACCTAACTCCCGCCAAGTCCCTCGAAGTAACGCGCATGATGCTCGGCAACGGCACACACCGGAAAATCGTCGCCTCAACCCTCTGCGAGATCAGGGGCGCCCTCCCCCTCGCGGAGGAGGGCATCCTCGACGAAGTAAGGCCGCGTCTCCCTCCACTAACAACCACTAACAACCAATCCGAGGGGAAAAGTGTCTCTACGGCCTCCCCATCTACCCCAGCGCCCTCCCCCACCTCTCAGCCCTCTCATCGAAACTCAAAATCGTCCTGATGGTCGACAATGAAGCCCAGATCGACGCCCTCGAGACCTTCGCCCAATCTGCAGGGCGTACAACCCCCTGGCCCGTCTTCATCAAGGTTGACGTCGGCTCGCACCGCGCCGGGCTGGAGAGTTCCTCGCCTGCGCTGCGTAACCTCGTGGAAAAGGTGGAGGGCTCGCCTGCGGCGGAGGTGTACGGGTTCTACTGCCACGCGGGGCATTCGTACGGGTGTCGGACGGCGGAGGCAGCGGCGACGGTGTTGAGGAGTGAGGTGGAGGGTGTTGTTCGTGCGGCGGCGCATCTAGACAGACAGGGGGAGGGGAGGAAGGTGGTGGTATCGTTTGGGTCGACGCCGACGGCGCACGTGGTGAATTCTATTCGGAGGGCGTTGCCAGAGGGGTTGGAGGTGGAGTTGCATGCTGGTTTGTCTTTGACTTTATTTTCCAATTTCCGGGTTTGATGCGAATGCGAATGCGAATGCGAATGCTGGTGCTGATGCTGATGCTGATGTTGTGGGTAGGAAACTTCCCCGCCAATGACCTGCAGCAAGTCTGTACCGGCCTCGTGGCCGAGAACCAGCAGGCGGTCCGCGTGCTGGCGGAGGTGTGCAGCGTGTACCCCGAGCGTAACGAGGCTCTGATCAACGCGGGGACGGTCGCGCTGACCAAGGAGACAAGCGAAATGGTGGGCTTTGGGCGGGTGACTGACCAACCTGGGTGGGCGGTTGTGAGGATGGCGCAGGAGCATGGGATTCTGGGGCTGACGGATGCATCCTCTGGTCAGAGGGTCGAGGAGGTGTTTCATGTGGGCCAGAAGGTGATGCTGTATATCCAGCATGCTTGTATTACTGCTGCCCAGCATCATGTGTATTATGTTGTTGATGAGGGGGATGTGGTTAGGGAGACCTGGGTGCCGTGGAAAGGGTGGTAGTTACAAGTAGACCCTGGTGAGATCCAGGACAAGATGGATTACTAGCATGGATATATAACACAAATCACAAAAGCCAGAGAAAGAAACAAGATCCCAGAGAAATCGTACATGAAGCAGCGGTACCTCGGACGTATAGCAATTTGTTCACGGTCACGGTCATATCCAGTGCCAAGGTCGAACTCATTAGTCGTCATTATCTCCATCATTCTCATCATCTTCCACAGATGCGGCTTTTTTCCCATTGCTCCCATTTGTATCCCCGTTACCAATCCGTTCAGTTTTTGTCTCCTGCTCCTCACCTTTAAGCCCACCCTCTTCCTCAGGGCCCGCCTGCGACTGCCGCTGTACACTTTTCCCTTTAACATTTACCGGTCTCACAGAGTCCCCGGCCTCGCTCTTCAATTCTGTGCCGGACTCCTCCAAGAGCCCGTTCTTCGCATGCCTGCCCCTGTGCTTCGCATGCGCCGCACGAATCAGTCGATTATGGTAGTGTCGCTGCTCCACCTCCGGATCCTCGGTCAGCATCCTCCGTGCAGCCTCCTTTCCGACAACCGGCAACCGATCGGCGCCCTCTACTCCCTGCGGCACGAGCTTGGGGTCCAGCAGTCCGACCTGGACGAGGACGCTGGCTTGGTCCCAGTAGACGTGTTCCGAGTACAGCTTTCCGGAGCGCAGGCTCACAATGCTGACGAGGATCACTTCGACTTTCTTGTTGGTGGGTGGAACGCCGGGGAGCATCCAGGGGATCTCCTGGGTGTGTTCGAATGAAGCGTAGAGCTCGTCCACGACGCGGTCAACGCCGATAGTCCGTGAGAGAAGGCGCAGCCGCATCGATGGCGGCAGGTTGCGGAGGAAGTGGTGTTCGTAGAACCGACGTAGATCGCGTGCTCCGATGCCTCCGCTCATGGTCGGCGCGTAGGTGACATTTGGGGTGAGATGGTCGACATACTGCTCCATTACGTTGTTAAGATTCATTGAGAAGAATCTCGCTGTCGACATCAGTCATCGGGCCCGTGAATGTTCCATTGAACACAAGGCAAACATACCCTCCAGATGCTCCTCCCACCGCTTCTCAAGGTCTGTATTGTGCGTAACTGTCGACCGTATCACCTGCAACGAGCGTGAAAAGGCCAACTCGGCTGCCAGCCGATCGTACTCTTCCAGGTCGTGCTCTGCAAATCCCGGCTGCACGTTATCATAAGTGTAGGCTTGGTGTCCGATGTTGAGTCGCTCCCCTGTCCCAATACCCAGGTTGATCTGCCTCGTGGTTCGACGCTTCTTCCCTTGCAAGCCTAATGCCGTGGGCACTGTCGTCACATCTACCGTTTCACCAGCAAGATGTGTCAAGAAGCGCACGGAGGGAGGGAACGACGAGCGTGGATCGGGAATGTTGGTTGGATAGTATGATATCAGAGCGCTAAGACGGCTGGCGTTTGTGGGTTTGAGATAGAAATCCAGGCAGAATGAGGCGGCATCACCGAATGCTATTCCCAGTTAGTTTTATATACTCCAAGTGTACTCGGATACGCAGTCACCCACCGATAACAGCATAGTTAACCCCTACGCCTAATCCCTCCTTGACAGACTTCAATTGACTGGTATATTCCTTTCCTCCATCATTATACGGAAGGTACATCACCTCAAACCCTTCATCCTGCCATTGGCGAATGAACGCATTGTCAAAGTCTGGTGTCTCGGCCGTGATGCAGACCCGAGTCTTTGCTAAGCTGGAGTTGTAGAGAAATCCTCCGCTCGCGCCACCGGCGTTGATAGAGACGAGGGCCATGATCTTGGCGTGTTGTGCTGGAGGGTTGATCAAAGCCCTGCTGTGTATACTCCGTATATATAAGGGGCGATGCCCACGTGGAAGAATCGGATGACAATGAGATTATGGAAGAATGTCCAAAATTCTGTGTCTGTGGTTCTAAGGGGGATTATCAGATTATTTGGTTCCGCGGACTGCTGCTTCCTACGTCATCTCCATGAAGCGACTCTCCCGCAGCCACTACGTCATTGCATCTCTTCCCCAACATCATCTGATTTCTGCCTCTACATTGATAGGTTCAATCAGACAACAAGAATAGGTACCTATGACATGCAGTGACAGTTGTCATTCAGGACGATTGAGAAGGTCGATCTTCTGGTGCATAACTTATGCTGTTCACAACTGAATGAAAGAAGAGCTATGCGGATGTGATAGAAGCTCGACATGATCCAGCAACAAGATTGACGACACCAGCGATATTACAAAGTCAAAGAGAGCCATACTCCACATTCCACGCGATGGACCCAAGTTGTATGACAGTGGCGAATGCTTCTCATTATAGAGGAACAAGGAATTGGTTCTCCTACCCATGGATGATCTCTGTAGTGCCTCAGGCACTCAGGCACTCCTATCCGCCGATTCCTCGTTTCCCTATCTTGTTATTGCTGACAAGCATATATATTTTCAGGGTCAGATTGAGGTTTCACATCCTTGATCTTTGATGCGTCAAATGATACGATGATGCTTTTGATAATGTGGATGAGTCTGGATTTGAGCAGCACACCAAGCGCGTATACCAGTTCATCTCGAGGATATATCCATATCTCAGCGATCTATCACTGTTCGACGATGCATTTGTTATACCACACAAATTCTATGGGATGCAGCCAATGTGAACTTCATTATCCACGGCGCTAACTCCATACACTTCTCTGACACCTAAAAATAGTCCTCCTGTCTGTGTACAGGCTACAGATAATCGCGCCTTGGCGCATTAACGCGCTTCCTTCGACTAGCTTTGAGAGTACTTCAGTTCCAGCATAAGCAGGGCCATTTGTTTTCAGCATTCGTTACGCTGGCTTCAGTTGATATTTCTTTACTATCCCAACCAATCTAGTATCCACTCACTCTGCAATGGATACAAACAAGGCATGATATAACCTCTCCACCCAACCTTACCCCGGATCTACGCCCGATGCTGACTGCTACCGTCCCAGAATCTGCCTCCCCCTCCCCCCTACACAGACGAAAGTCCCTCGGACGTGGAACCCAGCGCGCCAAAATATACCCTACATTCCGATACTTCTCATATGAGCATCACGGTTCCGCCCACATTTCACCGTTTAGAGCTGGATCCCCGAGACACGATCTACCCTTCCTCTTCCTCGCCGGCTTTGGCGAGGAGAGTCACGCGCTGTTGTTGTGGCCTTCTTCTTGGCTTTGTGGTGGGTATGGCGCTGTTTAGCGTGTGGATATATTTGGCGCTTCAGAGTTGGCGGTTTTGATACATGGTGCTGTCTCGGGAGTTGTTTCTATTCGACAGAAGAATGGTATTTTGGTTGAGCGCTCGAAGGTGTTAATGGAAGAAGTAGAAGTCATTAATGGTGGTTTCGCGGACTACCGACCGTCCCGTATCTATGACATGTCCTGTTTCATTATTATCACTTACCACGGCAGGAGACTGGTCAGCATCATTGGAAAAGCTCGCATCATCTGCGCAATGGTCGAAGTCTTCCTGTATGCGTCGAGTTCCGCAGGTTCCGATTCTCCGCTCAGTCCATGAAACGGTCGCAGTCGTACAAGGAAATTATCAGTGTAGAGGTTCGGCAATTCCGACTGCGCAGAACTGCAGAAGAACGATCCCGAACTTTTAGCTAGGTAGTCAACCAGAAACGTATATTGTAGTGACAAACTCGGAGATGTTGCAGTCATCCCAGGATAAGGAGATTGATTGAATTGATGGTAGATATCTGATGATCCACAAGATGCTCACTTTGACCATGGTCGTCTGTCGATTGTGCGATGACGGCAATTGGTCCAGTCCCACGGCCCGCATAAAGAGCCATGCTCAACTCCAATATGAAATCGCCATGGACTGTAACCAAACTGAAATAGTATCAATCATTTTAAATTTTGAGCCGAACGAAGACAAGCTGTCAAATTTTTTAACGTCATATGTCCAAGCTTTCTTTCTGTGGGGGGTTGCTATGAGCAGGGAACATGTCTAGCTCCAGTCTCCAGAAGCTTCGACTGGTGGGAACAAGTAACCTTCGCGCCCCTCATAGCAACCGTCACCACGCTTTCGAATCATCAACCCGCATCGCAATCAAAGGTATTATCTTTCAAGAGAGCATCAATACTCATTTCGTGTTGTTTTTACTGACATTGATCAGGCGTCATAGGCCATGTCTTTGGTGCAGCACGTCTCTGCAATTGACGGCGTGGACCGCGAATTAGAACCAGAACTTCTTGATGATGAGACCATCACCACCTTCCATGACGAATCCTTGGTGCCGATTCGACGCAAAATCAGCTACGATGTTCTTCATGCCCGCCAACAACCGGTGACAGATGACAAGTCGGGCACTCCGGCATACAAGGTCTCGACTGGGGTTAGACTTGGTATGCAAATGCGTCGTTTTTGCTTTTCCCTTTCGTCGAATGAGGACGAGGCCCTGACCTAGTTTAGCCCAGGTAATCATCACGATTCTCGCTTGTTGGTTCGCGTCTGGAATTGTGTTCGGCTTCGCTGCTCTGAAGCCTGTCCTGATCGAGGAGGGCGTCTATCGCGACCTTTGCACGGAAGAGGAATTGCGTGATGGTGTAGAGGTTTGTTTTGAGCAAGATCTTCGGTAAGTTCTGCTTACCAGGTTAGCTATTTTTTTTTTCTTGGCTAACACTAATACTCAGGCTGAATTTGTTCTTCACGGTTGGTTCAATCACCGCCAATGTATCTGCTCTGCCGGTCGGGACCATCCTCGACCGCTATGGTTCGCGCATCTGTGGATTCATCGGGTCCGCTCTGCTTGCCGCTGGTAGTTTGTTGATGGCGCTTTCATTTTCGCGACCGGCTTTCGATGGGTACATCATTGCCAACTTGTTCCTAGCTCTTGGAGGGACATTCATCTTTGTCCCCTCGTTCCAGATCGCGAATGCGTTCCCCAGACATGCAGGCATCATCGTCGCTCTTGTGACTGGCGCATTTGATGCGTCTGCCGCAGTGTATCTGTTCTAC